TTTCAGCCTCCGGCTCACACATTTGTGTCTTAGCTCAGAAAGGAGGGCTTCAGAGCAAACTAATTCACGCAGGAGCCAAATGGCTCACTCACAATTTTAACGCGAGTAGCTCACAAAGTAGAATTTTTTGCTCGCAAGACTCCCCAGCTTAGAGGGAACATTGCTCTGGAGCCATCCTTCCTGAGCTAAGACAAACTGTACATAAATTAGTTTGCTCTGGAGCTGGAGGCAGAAAAACTGTGAGCTAGCTCACACTAACTCAGCTTAGAGGGAACACTGCCTGTGAGCATTCCTAAACCTGCTGAAGTCCAGGGTTTTTTTCTAGCAAAGATTGCAGCAAAACCGGGGAGGGCTTCGGTTCTTTCCCCACCCACATCAATGCCACTTTCCTGACCTGGTTCCCTCGGGCAGCCGTTCTTCTTTACGGGCCTTTTTGTGTTTGTTTTTAATTGACAGTTGGCAATTTTGCTGTAGCATTATGAAGGTACACTCATCTATTGACCTGGTTGGTCCTCTGAATGTTAAGCTGTCCTTTTTTAGAAAGCAGTCTTCAGCCCTTTCTGTTTCAGAGATGCACCTATCCCCTCATATCTCTGCAACAAAAGAGGCCAGATGCCGGGGGGGGGGGTGTTAAGGGAAAGCTTGGAATTCAGAGGATGTAACAGATAGATCTCTTAAAATGACAACAATAAATTGCTAATTTAAAAAAAAAATGATGAAAAGATCCCCACCCCCATCCCAGCTGCTGGGCCCAGGAGGAGAAATGGTCACTGAAGCGGCCTGGGGCAGGGAAAATGCAGGGAAATCTGCCATGGGGAGGTCTGCCCTCATTGTGCTGTAGCCACAGGGGCAACAAGAAAACCCATGGAGGGGATCCTCGCCCTGCGGAAGTCATGTCACCAAAGAATCCAAGAACGAAATCTCCTTTTCCCATAGAACCGATGTTCATTTATTTCCTTAAAATGTATTTATTAAAAAGTTTCTTATGCCACTTTTCTCGCTGTGAACAGTGGATCAAGGTAGTTTACAAAGCCAGCAAAAGTTTTTTGGGTTTTGTTTGTTTGTTTTGTCTATTTATGTGTGTGCGTATTTTCTTTCCTGTAGTCTTGTCACACTGTGTCTGCATCCATTCGTTCGTTGCCAAGTCTATGTGTATAGCAAATAAACGAATGGATTGCATTTGATTTGTCTTTTCCTGTAGTAATGGCAACACTTAGCACATCACACTTTTCCAAAATGTTTCACGCGCGTCATCTTGTAGTCCTTACAGCTGTTGGCTATGGTAACTCTGCATGCAAGAGGATCTGGGAGGGAAAGGGTTAAGAGGAATCTCTCCCAGGGGTACAGTGGGCACTTGGCCCCACCCTCCTCTCATGGGTTTGATGTTGAGCCTCTTTGGCCCTCGCTTGCCTTCTGTGTTTCATCCTATGCAGGGGTCATTTCATAGAAAAAGAGGTACAGGAGCTCATTAGCATAACTCATTAGCATAACCTGTTTGCATATGCCACCACCCCTGACATCACCAGAAGTGTGTCAGAAGGCAACACCCACCACTCAGTCTCCACTGGACTGTTTTGGATTGCTAGCTATTGGGGGGGGGGACATGCAGATCTGTCCTCGCAGAGGAGGGAGAGCTTGTACCTGAATAAAACTTGGTCTTAAAGGTGCCACTGGACTGTTTTGGACCAGGGGGCCGGGGGGGACTTACCTGGCTGCTTCTTGCTCTGCAACTTACCTGGCTGCTTCTTGCTCTGACTGAGGGCTGCTGGGAGAAGGGAGTGGGGCTTGTTGCATGTGCCCGCCCCCTGGGCTCTTTACTGCCGGAGCTCTGCTGTGCGCTCCCGCAGGAAATGACCCCTGATCCTATGTAGGACCTCTCTTATTCTCTCTCTTACCTGGGCTTGGAGCTGTAGCCGGTTAACCTTTCTGGAAGTTAATATGTTCACAATAATTTAAATGTGCCTAAGTGAATATATCATGTAAGGTGTGTTTCTGGTTTTGTAAGTAACATTTCTTTTTCCTGTTACCTTTGGAGTCAGGTCGTCTTTATAGTTTGTTTGAACAGCATTTTCCCTTTAACTGGGAAACGTGGAGGATCGAGGATACTGCGTAAAGCCTCTGTGCTTCCAAGGCAGTTGGTTTTTTGACATTTAACCCAATAACAACAGCCCCATAAGATAGTCCACAGCTGTTTTGGGTGAGGATAGCAGGAGCAGCTTGCCTAAAGCCACATTAAGACTTTTTGTAGCAGAGACAAGATTTGAACTGGAGACTTCGTGCTATGCCACCATTCTTCTCTCTGTATTTAGCCCCTAAAAGCTATTCTAAAGTGGTTAATTAAAAAACAGCTTGCCTCTCCTCTTCTGTGTGCCCCCCCCATCACAAACTGTCTGTGTGGCCTGTGGAACACAACGCTTTAGGATTTAATAATGAATAAAGAGACTGCGGTGGCTCAAGTGGTTAAGACGCTGAACTGCAGGCTGTGGAAGGTCAGTAGTTCAGCGGTTCAAGACCCGGGTGCCGCAAGACAGGGTGAGCTCCTGTCTCTAGTTCCAGCTCCTGCCAACCTAGCAGTTCGAAAGCAAGAAATTGCAAGTAGATAAATAGG